AAATATAAATCACTTTGAAATCACTCAGTTTTCTTAAAAATCAACCTTATATATGGGTTTAAATTGTTACTATGCTGTTTTTGTGGATGGAATGAGGCATTTACACTAAGGCAATAAGAGAATTTATAGGCTGTCTAAAAATGGAGCTGAAGATAAAATGTCTTGTGCAGCAAAGGATGTAGAAAAATGGGTATGCAAGGCAGTGGGATGGGGATGAGGCATGATGGAGAGGTTTCTCTAGGCAGGAAGATGGAAGACTGAAAACACAGTATTTCTGTGAGCTAGGATCATCTGTGAGTAAAGCAAAGATGAGTGGTAATGAGAAGCTGATGAGCATGGCTGACTGCCAGCAGATATTATGATCTCAGAATATTTATGTTTTGTACTAATAATGACAAAATCAGTAACTGTACAATTACATATTTGGATAAATACAAGTGTAAGTGCATCCTGTAACATGGTGAATGGAAATGAAGTATGATTAAAATGACAGTTCATACAGTAATACTGATGCCCAGAAAAGACAGATAAGTGGGGAGAATGATAACATAATAAATGATAAAAGAATCTTGATATTTAAAAAGAAAAAAACCCAAAACTGTTAATGAAAACATTCATAAGCAGTGAGAAAAATACTTTAACTTTCCATAGTTGCAAAGAACAGATATTGATCAGACAGATGACATTAAGAAGAAAGCAAATTTACTTGTCTGCACTTATAAAAGGCAAAAGAAAATCTGGCGCAAAAGAAAATCCTTCTCTTATGCCTTGAAGAAGAAATCTACAACCAGGATAATATCTGTTATCTGCCTAGAGCAGAAAGATGCACTGAAGATGGGGAGTGTCTAAACAACCAAGAAGAAAGCCAAGAGTTGGAATCATGTCATGTGGATGTGCTAACAAAGTAAATTTGTTACAAGTTCCCACATGGGCACTGAAATGTGACAATAGCAGGATGCTGAACTGAGAAAGATGTCTGAAATTAGAAAGTACTTATTAAAGGGAGGGAGCTTCATGAAAGAATTACAAAGAAGTACAGAAGAAAATTAGTTAGCAGGATTAGATAAGCATTTGGCAAAAATCACAGTAATAAAGCACATTTGAAACAGTTATATTCAAAGTCTGGCTGGGATGTCAAAGGATGTGATCATCACCTGATGATTACCCTGAAGAGAGATCTAATGTTGGTTGTCACTGCTTGGGTGGGACCACATCACACCATACAGCTGTGCAGCACAGCTGGGAATGGTAAATCCTCTGCACTAACTTCCTTCCCACTGTTCATTGAACAGACTGAAACATTTTCCTTTTCTCTGAAGAGAGGAGAGGCAGGACACAATATGAATCTGTTCCATCTTTTCATGAATGGCCGGATCCTAATATTCCTGTGGCTTGATTCTGCAAGGCACTGAGCAATCCCTGCTCTTTTCCACACCACCACCACCCTTCATGGTCCATTATGGGTTTAAGAATGAGCACTTCCATCAGTGGACTAATTCTGTGACGGAAGTTCATGTAAGACTATGCTTACATGACCACACAGTTCTAAACAAGGCTCAGACCAAGATGCTGCTTTGCACTTCATCCCAGAAACCTGCAGGACTGAAGCAGTGCAAAATGCAGAGCAACTTCCCCACTTGCGCTCAAGATTTATATGGCTTGCTTTGCTCTTAAATCTGTCTTCACAAAGCTTTCTTCAAAGATTATTAACAGATGTTGTCATTAAAAAGTTGGTACTTGCCAACAAATAACACATGGGTCTGCTTGAGAAAACAGGGCTGTTTCCACAGCTTTCCCTAAGAAGAGATACTTGTGCTAATTGTTAAGGCCTGTGAGAATATGACATTTTAAAGTATCTTCTACCACACATAATTTCCTAAGAGAATGTTGGTTTCCTGAGAATTTGTTTATCTTGTTCATATGAAATAATTTGGATAAACACACATGACCCGTTATCATTAAGCCCGTTATGATTAAAGGCTTAAGTGGTGATCTTTTTAGATAACAATTAATTTGGCAAGGAATGACTTATTAGTAACAGAAGAAAACACCCCAGCACTAAATAATAGATAGCCACATATCTTAACTGCAGACACAAAATAAAAGTACTAACTGATATGCAGAAATTATACTTAAAGGCTAGAAAGTGACAGAAGGACAGAATTTTCTGATCCACTGCAAGATGACAAACAACAATCCCCAACCAAAAAATAAATGGGCAGAAAGGATATGTACAAAGGACCTGGCTGGAATATACAGACACAGGATCACTTCTGTGTTCACCTACTCAATACACACCAAAATCGAAAATCTGTGAGCCAGGCCTTCTGTTAGCAATTTGGAAAAGCAAAGAGAAGATGGGAGTGTACGTTGTCCAGAGGGATCTTTTAAAAGTTATGAACAGGAATTCTTTCAAGATGGTAGCCTAGATATTGATGAAACTCTGGGCAACTTATTGTTAATGAAAAGGTAATTTTTTTTCTGGGAGGTGGGAAGGAATGAGTGTTCAGCAGGTTTGTAGAAATTATTCAAAATCTATATGGGTCTTTTGCAATGCTCAAAGCATGTCTCTCAACACAGAAATTGCGAATACCATTTTCATTGAGGGTTCAAATAAATGATAGATGTAGTATGTTTTTACTGCATTCTAAACTCAGCATTTTAGAGGTTGACACTGAAATCCTTTCCTCTCTGTCTCTCTTTTAACCTGTTGTTAAAAGCATGATTGCTCTGCCAAAAAGTCTATGTTTTGAAAGGCTTTTATTCCCTTTTTTATTCCTTTTGTTCTGCCATATGACTGCACACTACGACATGCACTGATGAGATTGGCAGCATTTTATAGCTATCAGTTTTGTCTCATCTGAACCTGTTGTAGTAAAAAAGAATATTCCTACTGACTTCACCAAGCTCCAAATCAGTCTTATTTGGGATGCAGATTTAGCTTCAACTCATGTCTCAATTCACTGTGTATTTCAAGCAAGGAAGAAATAGTCAATGTTGTCATGGTCCGCTTATACAAAACAAGTCAGATGTCCTTGACAGCATTTAAGTTTAGGGAACAGAAAAAAATCACAGGCTGTACAATTAGAAACACAATCTTAGAGACATGCAGCAAGAGGAAATCCAGCTAATCTGATGTTTGTTTATTTCTTTAACATTCTATTAAAGCAAAGAAGCTCTGTAATAAGATTACTCCATTTTATCTCTTAATTGTATTCAGATATGCAAAACAGATTTACTGTTAGTGGCTTGTATTCAGTACAATATTTTAAAGCTAATTATGAAACACCATTACTATTGTCACATTATTCTTACTGTTAAGAATCAAGACCATTCTCTAAAATTAATTGTAATTAACTTTTTAATTGGATATAAACCCTACTAAATTCTGAAACAGCTAGTTATATAAACATAATTATTTTAAATCCAGGATGAGATCAGCATAAAAAAGGGAAGATACATTTAGAAGCTTTCTATTACCAAAGCCACCTGTAAGTGAAGTCTTGAAAGTATTCCAGTGTATCTTTTTGAACACCTGAAATCTGCCATTGTCCATGTAAACATGCACACACATCCTCCCAAAACAGTGTATTAATAGTTTAATTGTTCATTGAAGAGTAGTCAGAACCTGGCTTTTGTTTGTATTATTCCAGATAGAGAGGAAAGCATATTAAAGTATTTACCCTCTCAAGTCCCCAGAGCCCCAAATATCTAGTAGTCTTTTCATTGCTTATGTATGGAATACAATAAAAAACAAAAAATCTAAACAAATTGTTCTAAAATAACCTCATATCAAAGTCCTTCTGCTCAAAACCACTGGTGAGTAGATGGCGAAAAATCTTCACCTGATCTGCTAGCTGCAATTAGTAACTTCAAAAAAATACTGTTAGAATACATCATGTAATCTGTCAACGCAAATTAAATTTCAGGTATTTATCACCTGGTACTGCAAACTAAATCTAACATTTTGCACACATTTCAAAGTACACATTTAAGCTCTGTTTTCCTGAACAAATCTTCATGATAGGAACAACAGAAGCCTTGAATACAGACTAATCACAGCTAGTTTGCAAGTCTTAATTGAATATGGGACACCTTTTCCTATGCTCCATTAAGTGCTAAAGGGACAAGGAAGAGGCACTTGGTTCATCTCAGTAGAATGAAGCAGAAGTTTAAAAGTTACCTGAGTTCCAGCCATCTTGATGAATACTGTTTTTCAGAACTATTATACCAGTATTTCGTATACTTGCACACCCAAACCAAATTATATTCACACATACTATGGTAATTAAAGCAGCTATATTTTGATGAGCTGAATTGAATGTGAACTTCCAGGTAAGATAAATCAATAATATCAATTATTAGAAGGAAACATCCTAGTTCTTACTGACTTACTATATAGTCAGGACTGACCTATGTACTAAGTTGCCAGTATTTTGGTGGAAGTTCTGTTGGATTCTGATGCTGACGACATATTATCCAAGTAATTTCATGAATAAATATTGCAAGATGTATTTCTGAGACTATCAAGAAATTTAATTTAACTCGCAGCTCACCACTAGAAAAAAACAACACTTGATGTGTCTTTTCAGGAATATATACTTCCAGAAGCCACCTCTGTTCAGATTATCTGTCAGTATCATTATGCAACCAATAAATATTTATGTTAACACTTAGCACAGTCTATAAGGACATTAATTTTCTACTTATTTGAAGAGGCCACGTTATCTAGGAAGGCGCTTCCAGTATTTCTGTGATCTGCATTTCATTGCAGATATCATTCACTCTAAATTTAAGTCTTTCATCTGCACACCAAGTGTTAAATTATATTGGATTACTGTCTGTACCATTCTATTTTTACTGCAGCTCTTCACAGATGAAGATTCAAATCCTTTGAATTTAGTAGGATTTTGACAGTAATTCAAGCGGTGAAAGTCTTAGCTCTGTCCACCTAACTGTGACATCAATGAATTTCAAGCTCTGCATGTGCCTGTATTTACCTGCTGTGTGAATCCTGTCCCCAGATCCTTGACAGCCATCCTCATCATCACAATCCCCGCTTGACTCCATCTCTTCACTTCTTCCGCCCCCACTGCCAGCATCTCGAGAAGTCCATCTTTCCAGTTTTAGTTTTGTCTTCTCAGCATCCAGCTAAAATGGAAGAAGAGAGAAAAAAACATAATGTACACAGTTCCAGCAACTGGTGACCAAACTGGGTTTATGAAGCAGCAAACACTTTCTCATTCACTTTCAAGAACTGCTCCTCAAGTTGGTTATTTTTTCTGGGAGTGACACATTTTGGAATAACAGACTATACCATCAATTCTTCTCCACCACAGATGACCAGGAACACTTATTATCATCAAACTTCTAATTGAAAACACCACATCTGCCAGTATCATCACAGGGAGCTCTAGTCCTGCAGCTTTTCCTCACACAAACCACAGTTTGGAGATCACTGGTTGATGACGGTACAATCTGCCAGCTGAGTACTTATTTTGAGTGATTTGCAATTGAAGCCCACAACATAGTTGACAACCTTTCAAGAGCTGAGAATATTTGCTACTTTTCATTATGTTCACTAGGAAACCTTGGCCCTGGATACATTTTTTAAAATGGTGTCATTCAAGATGCCTGTACCAACTGCAAGTTGTTAATTAAATTTCACTTGGAAAATATTTCTTGGACTAAGTATGGAATAAGAAAGCCTTTTTAAAAATAAATCTAAATGTATCACACTGGGTCACACTTGCTATAGCAACATATTTACTCCCCAAACATATATTTTTGATCTTTAGAGAACTCTTTTCCCTGTCACCATGAACAGTTGCCTGCTATTAGCTCTGTGGGAAGAAATCACTTTTCAGTTCACAGGTAGTCCGAAACAAATGAAATATACCATTTCATTTTCAGTGAATCTAAAGCCAGCCTACTCAAGGAACAACAGAAAGAGCACTATTTGGGAAGAACTCAAGTAACTGGCCTAGACTAAGACATTCTGTTATAAGGGATTCATCAAAGAAGGGTGGTTCAGGAGAAACCTGAAGCTGTCCCCCATACCTGAGAGGAGCATCTACTCACTGAGGCACACGGCACCTGTCCTGTTGCAGCTGTGCCACTTTCGTACAACATTTCAGAACCAAGGCGCTCTGCTTTCCTCGGTGCCTACCTGTGGAGAATGGCCCGTCTTCTCCCCACACATAAGACACTGTCAGTTTGCAACACCACCCTCCCCAATGGTTTGCATTTGTTGTTGCTACTGCAAAGGATGCTTCAGGGTATTAGAGAAGGTGACATAGCTTATGCAGAGAAAAGCCCCAACACTCACCTTCCCCTACAGTGCAGGGACAGGCAAGTTCCCTGACACAGAGTGGATTGTTTCACACTCTGGGTGCCCTGGTTCTTCTGAGTTTCCATTCTCCCATAGCTATCACCCCCATTTTGCAAGTGACTACCAATTTACTTTCTGAATCTTGTTGGAAAATTACACTGGAGGGTGTTGGGTTTTAACTGATGGGAAGAGCTGATCCAGTGTTTCTAATAACTTCCTTCACATTGCTGAAACTCAACCTACAATGCATATGAACATTGCTTTGAAAGGCAGCAGCTTGTCTGTCTCCTTTTCAGAGATACAAAAAACTCATTCATGTTAGCTCTGCCTCTATGGTATGAGCAGGTACGATTAGAGCCTGTTACTTGGTAATGTGGAAATATTTAACCAAAGGAAAAGACTTTGTAATGCTTCTCAAACAAAGTTGGTCAGATTCTGGATCTATCTCATATTCTGCAGCAAAATTATCTTCCCCCCAAAGTACTGTAGCTCCATTTCAGGTTCTGTGATCGGCTTTAGCCTGGAGGACTGTGATTATTCTTGGTACTGAGCAAAATGTATTTTGAACTCTAGCTACTTTGAAGATTCAAACAAATTTCACACTAAAAAGGAGGTGGGCTGGGAGCTGGGGGAAGAACTGGAGCACAGGGCAAATACAACTGTATTAACTGGGCTGAAAAAAGGATGAGGGATGCAGCAGTTCCTCCGTAGTGGGAAGCTTTGTGCGACAGTCTCCTTCAGATACTGTGAGCTGCCACCCTCCACCTGGGGGTTGATAAATGCTTGGATCAGTGCAGCAGAGATCCTGTTCCATGGAACAACAGATGCCAACTTCTAGATGGTAGAAGTCAGGAACATTTTTATCCTTTCACTGAAAAGATCTGTTTGCTCATTCTGAAGACACAAATAACTTCACACTGTAGTGGGAAGATCAGTAAGTGGGAGGAAAGGGTATGGACTCTGGTAGGGAAGTGTATGAAACACTCTTTAATTGTTACTGTATGACTGTTTTTTATAAACAAGTTGCTTAATGTTGAGCCTCATTATTCATAGGCATAAAGTCTGATGTCATAGCAACAAAACCCAACATTTTGCTAAACAATTGGAAAAATTTGCCTACGAGGGAGAACGAAAACTCAGTTCTTTCACAGATTTATTGTGTCCTGACCATATGAGAGAAGACTTGCTCTTTCTCAGTTAGAATCCTTCAGAATGAAAAGAAATGGCTAAGCACTGAACAGAATGGACACAGAAATTAATAAAAGCTTTTGTTTGCCAGACAAAGCAAAAACTATTATTGCCTCTTAAGGTACTCCTTTCCAAAAATTTTATTTCATTCAGAGCCCATGGCTCAATCCTGACCTTTGCTCAAAATAAGTAAATACTTGAACCATCACTTTCTTGGACAAAAGCCAAGAAACAAGCTCAGCTTTTCAATATGGTGTCCATTTTGCAGACTTCTGAGTTCTTAATGCTTTCTCAAAAAGACATGAGCTGTAGCCCAGATATCAGCCTTCACTGCCCATATTAGTGAAGGCATAGGCAGTTACTTCTTGGCTTGCTAGTAGAAAGGGCCATCAAACCACAGAGAACTCTTATATACAAATTCAACATAACCACATAAATTCAACTCTGCTGTGACCTACCAACGCTTTTCACCTTGTATATCCTTCCCCATCCTCTCCCAATTATATTTCCATCTGTGGCTCCCATTCACCTAGAACAATGGAACTGAGCCCAACTTGGTGCAGAGTTAATGGTTTATCCATAAAACCCCATATAGTAAACCCATTCCAGCAGATGAAATAGGACACTTGTCCTTTGGACACCATCAAGACTTTAGAGAGATCACTTTTAGTGCAACAGCAACGCATGCATCAGCTTTTCTCCATCTCCTTTTTTCACAAAATCAGAAACCCTACTCAAAGGTCTGAGACTGCACTGAAATAGCACCGACAGCATCAGGATGGACTAAAATGATGCAGCTTTAGGAGATCATAATGAAAGACATTAACCTTCACTTTTTATTAAGCTCTGCTTGGTCCAGAAGACAGATGTGGACAGGGAATACCTGTAATACTTTGTGACTAGGGGACTGAGGGGTCTCTGACAGAGGAGCTAAAGGTCACATGAAGGCATCTTTAGAGATAGTCATGATCTGTTAAAAAGCCTGAACAGTTTTCCTAGCTGCTGCCACCAATCACTAAAACTTTCAGCTTTCCCACAGATTGGTATAGAAAGAATCACAGGTTCTTGCCCATTTTTAACACTGGAGATCACAGACTGGAGTCAGTCCTGGCATTTCTATTATTGCTTAAAAACCACTCCTCAACAAGCCTTATTTTGCTGACTTACACTCTGCCTGCTAATGCATAATGCCATCCAGCCACCTCTGATAACTCTGCACAATAGTTCCAGCCTAGAGTTCAGTGATGTGATGCTTAGAATTGATGCTTTTGTTAAACAATTACAACAAATTCAGGCTGGGCACTGGTCCTTATATCTTCACCTTCCCAAAGCAAAAGGTATTTGCTGCCTCAGACTCCAGAAAATACTGGAACCTTAACAGCTTAAAAATTAAGTCTTCAAGTTTTTGCCACATCTGAAAGATTTTTTTTAACTCATGAAAAAGTTTTATAAATAGATCAATAAGGTTTATACAGCCCAACTGAAAACCAACTCCAGTCAGAAATTTGCCAAATGCAACAGGCTTTAGATCAGGTTCATGAACCTCTAAAGGGTTTTTGGGAAACTATACAGTCCTTCTGTGGGAAAGCTTTTTGTCTGTATCTGATTCAGCTGAAAGGTAAAAATCACATACTACTACTATGCATCTCTCAGGTACAGGTGACTATCTTTACATATTCCAGCAAAGGTACCAACCTTAAGTGACATTACACAACAAAAGATCTGCTGATGTACAGTTTTACAGAGAAGAAAGAAGTCATATGAGAATGCTTGTTTTCTTTCTCCCCTATTAATACTTAATAATATTAATGTAGTGTACACAAGCCCAGGTCACATAAAAGAGTCCTTCAGAGGCTTCAAAGAGTTTGTAAGACACAACCCCTGAGCTTTCTACCATGAGGCTAACTCTAATTCTTACCCTCACCACAGGTGTGTTCGAATATAAATTTATTCTCACAATTTTTCCAGGAAGGCATCTTCCCGTCAAATACTTCCACACATTTATTAAATATTAATTGTTGAGCTCCATGAAAACTATTTGATTAAAGTGCGAATCTCAACCCATTTCACCAATTACTCTATTTTCTGAGGGGTCATATATGCATATGTATCTGAGGGGATGACTCCAAGCTGTAGGATAATAAACTCATTTCATTAGAAAATAGGTTTTAAAATCGTATTTTGCACCACTGTTTCAGGCTTTTCAGGTCAGTGAACACAGCAATGAAAATCGAAGAGAATACACTTTTTGAATAAAGCCACTTAAAGCTTGTGTGCTTGGAATATTCGGAGATAAATCTCATACAATAACTGTTTCCGGGCGGATTAGCTAATTACGTTCCTGTATGATAGATTGCAGTGTGAATTATTTTCCTCTTTAAAGATGACTTTGAGGTGAAACCTGACTTCTGTCCACTTGTCATGTGAGCACACACTATCTCTTACTTGCTGATGTTTTTACAGTAATCAAAAAATGGCTGATTATACACTGCATTTAGAAATCAAGCTAAGCATGATTTTTTCTCAACATACTTAAAAGCAGTTGCCTTTTAAAATGTGCTTTGGTGAAATAAATATGATTTGCAGAGACAAAGCTTTTTGCCAGCTTATGCACAAATAATGTACAAAGCAT